AAAAAAAGGCTTCCACTAAAGAAGATGTTGAAAATAGTTGTAATACCTATAATTTTTTACTACTATTGTGATTGTTTGTAATAGCAAAATACCTCAAGGCAAGAGCTGAGGTTAGGGCCCTTTGTACCAAAGACTCTAGAGAAGATACAGTTCTCTAAAACTGGGAAAAAATCAGGGCAGATAGGAAAATATTGTTCACAGGCACCAAGATTGTACTGGGCACCAAATGAAACTAGCAGATACCAGGCTCAACATAAATAAAAACTGATACTTCTTCAGATGTGTCATGTGCCACAAGTCACTGGAAGCTGGAGGACCACTGTTAAGAAGCGCCACCATACAGCTGCCCTGTTGTGCTCCATTACTGCACAGCTGCTACTCCCTGCTGCTGGAGACCCAGTACTGTGCCGGATGGAGCTTCAGCCTGGCCACACGCAGCTGCTGTTACACTTTCAGTGCAAACTAACACACAGTTATTACCTCAGAGTGCTTATACGTGCAATATGTGAGACAGACAAAATGGGAGAGGAGTAAAAAGTTATTGTTCTCCCCATTTTTATTAAGGGAGAATCGAGCAAGAGGCTGTTATGTGATCTGTCCAGTGTCACCCAAGAAATCAGTATCTGAGCTAGGAGCTGAGATGAGATCTGGAGTCCCCTTCAGTGCCTGAATTAGAGGATCATGCTTTCCCCTCCGTTAGCCATCAAAAACCTATGTAGTGAAAACAGAATCGAAGGCATTGAGTTGTCAGGCTCAGAAGTATCTGATTTTCCATGGAAACCTCTTCCCAGCAACAGCTAAGCTTTTGCAAGGAGAGAAGCACTTCTCATCATGCAAGAGCTGTCAGGGAGCTGTACTGTGCAAAATGCTGTAGCTGTGCAGCTGCCTTCTGGAGAAGTCTCGTCCTGCAGCCAGGCAGCATACAGCCCCGTTCCTGACAATCCAGCTGTAATTCTGCCTGCTCGATAATTTTTCACCATGGTCATGCCAGAATCATAGCCTTGTTTTCTGTTGTCTGGCTGTTAGTGGTGATGTATGAATAAGTAAGAAAGACAGCTTCATTTTCATAAGCTAACTTGTGCCTGGAGTAACAGAGAGTGAGAGGAGTGCACTTAATCATAACTGCAGGGCCAGAGCAGAAAACAATGACAGAGCTTTTGCTGCTAGTGATAGTGTTTTATTATAATAAGTCTTAGGAAGAAGAAAGAGGCAGCTCAAAATGCTGAACAATTCAAATTCATTATGGTAGCCACCGTGTTCTCGTCTGCTGGAAGAATAACTCACATAACTCTTTTATGCTTGCCTTTTACAAAAGTCCATGGTGGCAGGGAACTCTAGTCTTTCTCCTCGGAAAATCTGAATTCAGATTCCGGTATGATCAGAGGTGAAATGAAGCTGGTGAAAGTCTCCATAGAATTGCATGCGCCTTGTGGGGAAGACGTGAAGAGTGGCAAAGGGACAGGTTGGGGCTGATGGATTGTCAGAGAACTGTGGGCAAGGAGAGCGTTCATTGTGCCTGCTCGACACCGTGCATTGCTTTGGCCAGTGCTTCATTTCTGTAACTTCATAACGCATTTGAAAAAGCAAATAACTAAATGAAATAACTGGTAATGCTCAGATACACTAGACAGATATTCTTACAATGATTCATTAATATAACAATTTTAGTGAAAGTTTTGAGTGAAACATTTTTAGTTGTTCAAAATTGGAAGGGCAAAGCTTATGATTTTATTTTGTTTGAACTTGTAGATACATAGAATAATACAGTATATATTATGCATCTGTATTATGTGCCACATTTTTTGATATTATTTAAAATAAGGAGGGTTGTACATTTAGATGTGGTTATTTTGATATCTTCAGATCAAAATATTTGGGGAATTTTTTCCAGAGGATATTTCTGAATTTCTTTTTTCTATACTGATTCAGCATGAAAACATTTTTTGGAACCATTAATATTTGCTGTGCAGCTGAAGTTCTGGTTTCCTGATCACTTCTGCCCTAAGTCAAGATCATAGAGACAATGTAAAGGGAAATAAAAATATTCTTCTTTGGCAGAGACAGCAACACTACTGCAGGCTAGAGAAAAAAGAAATATAACTAGAGAAGATACAAAACATATCTTCATAACTTTCTCCAAGGTGGCTTGGGAGACAAGCCATCACATCTGCCTAGTAGGTTTTTAGACACCAGCAAGTTACAACAGCCTGACAAGTTGCATGCACTACCCTAGGACAGTACGTGAACACATGCGCATTCCCAGACCATTGCAAAAGCAAGCTGAAGTGCGTTAGCTAACACATTTTACTTTGTATTTGTGACAAGCTAAAAGGACATGTACAGGCAGTTATTCCAGCTCAGTTGATACACAGTAAGTCACATTATCTGATCCATGTATCTAAGCCCTAAAGCTTACATGATGTTAATTTCTGCCTTCATCCATGTCCCATATCAAACCTCAAGGAATACTGGTGAGAGCAGGATTTGTTCTGGTGTCTTCAAAAGTAAAGGGAAAAAGGGGAAGGAAATGATACAGCTACAATAAATATGTGCGAACATAATTTCCTGAGCCTTTTCAGTTTATCTTAGCATGAGAAATAATAACTGAGAAGTATTTCAGGGGTACATTGTCAGAACTGAGATTTTGAACTGGTAGGTGGGAAAGGAAAACCATTAACAAGCAGCAAGGTTTGTTCATTTTTTATTATTCATCAGTTTGAAGGCTGAAATCTGTGGCTTGTTGGGAAATGCATGGGGCTAAAATAATGAAAGCAGATTGATACTCCATGGTAAGTTCAGTATCTGCTTCTTGCAAATGGAATTCTAACATTTCTTTTGATGTTAGCAGTACTATCCTGAGAAGGATCTGTGGACTGCTGAGTTGTGAAATGCGCTGTTAGAATATGGGCAGGGTCACTCTCTTCCTACCAGCTGTGCCAATCCATTCCAGCCCAGCTGCACCTGCATTTTTTATTGGGTTTTTTTTCTCATTCTTTACTAACCATGGTAGTTTCTTATTTTGGTTTATTCTGCCTCATCTGTAAGGGAGTGGTTATAAAGAACAGGCAGTCTTCCAGCACAGAATCAACAAATGTTTGTTTAAATTGTGCCCTTCAGCCTTTTTTGGCTAAGACTTGTTTCAGCCAGTTGAGATCCCTTTCGTATTTCCTCACAATATATGGCTTGTGGCACCTCATGTGCTGTCTAGTGTGTTCCATGTGTCTCACAGGTTGAGAGATGCTACAGTTTATTTGTATGAACAAATCATCAGTTGCTTAGCATGCATCTGCCTCTAACTTGTCATTTCCTTCATTCTCTTGTGCATTGCACTCTGTTAATATTACCAGTTTTCAGTAGCACCAATGGGGTGATAAATGTGTGGTGGTCTTTTATATGATCCTTTCTGCTCTCCCCCAGATTTTCCACCTTCTTAAAAAATGAGTTATGGAGTATAATGTGAAAAACTAAATATATATATTATATATAACATGTAACGGAAAAGGAGAGACATCTTTAGAAAATGACGTCTGCTGAGGACTGGCATGTTGCGGTTAGGATAGAGTAGGGTGATCCTGAACAGTGGTGTGGAGTGGACTTGGTAATCTCTCAAGGTTATTTCTAGGTTGATTTCCGTTCACTCCTTGAATGCTTTCGTAATGTTCTGATTTATTTGTTATATGCATTGGCCACTCACTGCTGCTCACACTCTTTGAAACGGCATTCGAGACACATGTGGGGGTTACTGATGTTCCACTGAATTAGAGATACCGCAGGAGAGTATCACAATCACCTGACCTATCCTAATGTCTTCCTAGCCAATTATAAAATTGAATTAATCACTTCTGTCTTTATGTCTTGCTTCTCAGCCCAATCTTGTCTTGGGCCATACTGAAATTTTAGTAATACAGCTGTGGTCCTACTAAGCAACATGTAATCATTTAATCCTTTCAGTGCACTGCTGTGACCATATACCCAGTTTTATGAGCACAACCGGGATTTGAAAATGTGCCTTCAGAGCATGATGCTTAATTGCTTTCTCAAAAGGTTGCAAAATAATTTCCAATCCCAGTCTTAGTGCCCTCACTGAGCGGGTCCCTCTGTCAAAGCACCATTCCCTTTCCTTTCTTTGACTAGATCCAAATGCAGTTTTCCCCTTCCCTCCATCCTCCGTCACCAGAGCATGATTTCAATCACTTCTCTTATTTACATTTTATATAGCACATTTCAGGATAGATAATTAAGTCCTTATCTATACAAACATTCACTTTTCAGTTGATTTTTAAGCAGTGCAAACCTTCTAGACACATTTGATTTAAAACACGTTTTACTCTAGCTGAAGCCAGCTGCTAATCAATGTAAGCTAAACCAAAATAAGCCCATCTAAAACTGAAATCATAATTTCTATGCAGCATTCCACACAGGCTTATCTAAATGACTTTTAAATTACTCTCTTAAATTAAAACAGTGCAACTTTCTTATGTAGGTAAACTCTTAGAATCCAAGGGATTTCCTTTCTGACTGAGAAAAAAATCCCTGAAACTAGTAGGGGGGAGGCATGGGAAGAGAATAATTTGTTATACTGAGCTTTGTTCTTCAATTATATTATCTCCATTAGAGTATGAACAGATCTTCATATTAGATGATCATTTTACCAACACTTACTTATCACTGGGAGGATTCTCCATCATTGTATTCCAAAATCAAGCAGCATTCAGATTTATCTGGGTGATATATTTTTGTCAGCATGACAAAGGTTCCCACAGTGTTTAATTACTCCGACTAGCCAGGGGAGAAGGAAAGAAATGAGCCGTGCTGAGTTTGCTGTGCCAGGCTTGCTGTCTGTTACATAAGCAGGCATCTTCCGAAGGCGTGAAAGGAAGGCAGCACCCGAACTTCTGTCTTCTTTTTCCACTGGCTGTCCCTCTCCAGATTTCATGTTTGTTTTCCATTGATTGACTGTCTTTTGTCTCACGATCTTTTTGCAATTTGCTCATTTCCAGGGCAGCAGGTTCTTGGCTTGGTGGAGAACCAGAGTGACTGGTATTTGGGCAACCTGTGGAAGAATCATCGGCCCTGGCCAGCGCTTGGGAGGGGCTACAACACAGGTAGGCCCTGAGGGTTTTCTTTGAATTAACGTTTGCATTGGGCGTGCAATCAGTCTCCTGGTATAGAGAGTATGAGATGCGGTAACTTGCACCTCCCTTCCTAACCTACTGCAAAATTTGTCATTTAAAGCAGTAAAAATGATGCAGTGTGATGCATTTTGGAGTTTCTGGTCCTGTGCTACTCTGAGGAGAATATGTTCCTTCTCTAAATGGTCTTAAGAGAAATTGTATGGCATCCTTTGAGGAAGGACAGAGCTTTTCAGCAGTATGACACATCCTGAGCACATTTCCTACAAGATTTCTGTCCATGATGAAGCATATGTAGGCCCAGCAAGAAGGAAAGAAAAGGAATCAAGGCTCATTTTCTGTAGAGAGGTAAATGGTATCACAAAATGTCAGCCCAATAAAGATATAACTCCTGCAGGACAGCAACAGGGTCATAATTGTCCTAATAAAATGCAAACTACTGGCCATCAATTTCTGCTGCCATGAGACAGGAATAAAGGCACTAGATCAGACAATTTATTAGATTACAAGAGTCAGGTCTTCCCACTGATTTGTGTTTGGCATGTGAGAAAACATACCAGGTGCATAAAGAACACACACGTACATCTAAATCATTTCGATGCTAGGCTTTACATGCTGATGCAGTGAGTTAGGTTCCCTCTCTATTTGTAATAAAGGGGCAGAACAGATGGTGAAGCCTCCATTTAGAAAAGATGAGTCCATTTAAATATCCCTGCACTATCAGGAAATTATTCACCATAATAGTGGTTTTGCTTTGCAGAAAATATATTGGATTGAATTAAACAGACTAACTAGAAAAAGAATTGCACAAGTTGTGGTTGTGTCGTCTGTATTTCTATATTCCTTTGTATATTTGGGGGAATCACGCCAGTTTTTGTGAATTTGTATTTCAGCCTCTGCAAAGCATCTCTGTTCTGTGAAAATGTTCAAAAGAACAGTCTATCAGAACATAGATAGGTACGATACAAGATTTTGGCAAAAGAGGTTTGTTTCCTGGTTCTCCACTTGCCAGAGCAGAATTGCATATATAAAGCCTTGGGCTGCCCACTCCTCCCCCCGCCCCCCCCCAAAAGCATGAGACAGAGCTAGGTTTCATGGATTTGTCCTGAAACCTGAAAGCTTATGTTATACACAGCTAAACTTGTTGATGTCAATTATGTTCAGTGTTACACCACAAAGCAGTATCTTTTGTTCTACTGAGAGATGACTACCTTTTATAGTTAGTTTCTTTCTGCTGCATTTTTGCTTTTCCCTTTCTGACATTTTAATGCTGGCAGAGAGAAATGTGTCACAACCACGTAACATTAGGATAACCCAGAAATGTATGGTGGGTAGTATCTAAAATGCAATTATGTAAATAAAAATGCTGTAAAGCTTTAATTTATATTGTCTTAACTTACTGTTCCAAATGTTTTATAGGGATACCAAATGTCAGTATATCACAAAATTCTTCCACTGAAAGCAAAAATAATTGAATGTCTGCAGTCCTTCACATACATTGCATGTGTTAATTCTTGGTATGCGTTAACACATACCTGCCAGGCCATGCATAATCCTGCCCATGATTTTAGTCTGCTCACAATTTCTTTCTTCAGACAACTCACCTGTAGTTATAAAAACTTTCTTCTTTTTAGAAAGAAAACCAGAAGGTAGATAATGAATGGAAGATTGACAAGTGATCATAAGAAATGGAATGATGTTTTTTCAAGTACATGGAACAAGAGGTCACTGAATGAAACAGTGCAACCTCTGAGAAGTAGCAAATTATGTTATTGACAGAATCAGCATCATTTACTATGATTTTCTTAATTGAATTCATTGTTTGCGTCAGTAATCTAGCAGAGATTGGAGGTACAAATTTCTCAAGGAAGATGATATACTAAGTGAAACTGGAGCTTGTTTGATGTGTTCAGTAAATTAAAATAATTGACACTGAACGCAACACTGTGGCCAAGGAGGTTTCAGAAAACTAAAAGGGGGAGCAGGAAAGAGAGGCAGTAACTCTAAGCCAAACGCTCATGGAAGACAGTGGGCCAGGAAGGGGAAGACTCAGAAATTCAGGTGCTTAGAGTTGTACTTAGGAACAGTAAAAGGGCCCCCAAACCCCTGAAACTTTAATGAGCTAAACAAAGCTGGATGAGGGGGAAGCTCTCAGACGGACTTTGCTCTTGCTCTTGGGAGAGTGTTTACTACAGTCCTGGGATACAATCCTAAGAAAAGAGATTTTTATGTGAGTCTCTTCAGCCAGACCCAACCCTGGCATATCTGATGCAGAAGCACCCCTCAAAGTCAAAGTTTGCTTTGACACTGCTTCCTCCCAATTTCTGAAGCAAATAATTTATATTTCACTCCTACCTTTCTATGTCTGAGCCACTCTGGACAACATATAGGTTGGGGAAGTCCCAGAAGGCAGATACCTTAAAGCCAAAGGTGTGTTTGTTCCTTCTCCACTAGCTCTTTAAACCCAGTGAGCATATGCGTTCTCCTATTCCTGTGTGCACAGGCTAAGTCTCCTGACAGCCAATACAGATTTTCAAGGAAAGATTTTATTTGGTTGTTTTTCATCCTTCTTCCTCATTTGCACAGGCTGATAATCCAAGTCATACTTTAGTCCATGATAATATAATCTTAGGAAAACCAGATCAAACTCAAAAGTCAGTTCAGTGACAATTTAATTGGTGTTTAAAATGTTCTTAGTTAGAACCATTCTTTATTTGAAATAACATTCCCTTCCTCAAGCCATTTTAAACACAGTTCCTTCTGTACCACAAAGGTACCCATGTTTTTTTCCGTACCTCATTGGCCGAAATGCAGTAAGCTGCTTAATCAAATACTTTTTTTATATATCATCCATTCAATTTTGCTTGTCTACACTGAGATTAACTCTTACAGACTCCTCATACATTAGCTAAAGCGCACTTTTCTCTCTGTATAATCTATATTGTCTTTCACTGACTAAACTGTGCTTTCAAAAGTATTGCCTGAGCCACACTATGATTTTTCTCTTTACAGATGTTAAAATGACAGCTGCAGAATTGCACTATATGGTTTGATGTTCATTTCTGGAGTAACAGTCATCTTAGTCCTCAGAAAAATATCTTGTCAAAGAAATTCTAAACATAAAAGCTTTTAGTACTTTGTCTGCCTTATACTTTCCATCATGGTGGAGAACAGCTTTTAAAAGCAGTTTCTGGTGACTGTTACCATGATTTCAGGCCGCTTCCTCAGCTGGTGTGAATCACCCCTGGCATCTCTGGCTTTAGTGCAGCAAGGCCAACTTACATCAGCTGAGAATGGACTCCATGCCTTTCAAATGGAGCTTTAGGATGGATCTGTGCCTGTAATTTCGGTGCCGGGGGGGCATTTGTAAAAACTTTGGTCCAGGGGATTTCAGACTTCTAGACTACAGAAACCCATCCTGAGGATTTGAGGCTCATCTGAAATACACTGCCTCAGTGCAACTACTAGATACTGTAAGGAGGTGTCTCAACAGCTTGAGCTGAGGATTCATACTCCCACACTGAGAGATGTCACATTACCAGATTTGTGGATTGAGAACAGAAGGGAATGGCTAGCACCTAACGATTACCAGGCTACATGTGCACCGTGTATCTTTACTCCCATGTTTGTAATGACTGGAAGAATGCTAGAATGAATCTCTTTCTTTTATTGTTTCCCTGAAAAAAAGGACCTATGGAAGATTAATTGGAAATGGGAAGCATATGTTATGTCATTTTTGCATGATATTTAACAATTGTGAATAATAAAGACAAGCATAGGGCAGACTGTTTATATGAAATTACACTGGATCACATCTTGTGCTTCATTGTGATGATACTATGCGTCTTCAGTGCAGAAAGCAAATGACTAGTAAAGCAGTGCAAAATGGAGTAGTGGTGGTCATGGAACTGCCTGCGGTCCTGCTCCGGAAACACGATAACCACTTTCATCTGAGCCCCACGGGCTTCTGCTCACGACATTATGATAATGGATCTGATGTTAAGAAGTGCTGAGTGCTTTTAATTTAATCAGACATTTCTGTTTTTCAGAAATCCTCACAATTAATGCTTTAAATAGTTATTGTTGCCTAATTATGGATAGATCTGTTACCAAAATGCCTTTTTTTCCCCCTGGAAGAGTCAGAATTCCATGACAGCCATCTGAATATAACACTAATTTACAAACTATGTTCCACAGATTCTGACTAAAACTAGTGCTTTTCTCCATGGTGTGAAGAAAGGAGTATAGTGGTTGCTTGAGAGAGGAGATTTTTCCAAATTGTCTCAGTGAATGAAGAAGTCAGAAAACTCATGGTTTGTAGAACCTTTAAATACCCACTATCGGGGCCTGACTCAGTTTAGCCATGCCCTCTCTGAAAGCCATTGCAATATTCCTACCTCCCATTACATAGAACATTAGTCGCCTTTGGTACAGGAACTGGTATCATTAGGTTTGGTTGTAAGTACAGGAGCCTTTGCAAACAGAAGAAAAATACATTTTAACAATTAAAAAAAAAGAACAAATGAAGTCCAACACCAATGACAAGGCAAAAAGTAGCACTTCCTTCCCCTACTCAGATTCACACTGTATCAGTTTTTTGGATTAGATTATTTGTTCTTTAAGGTACTGTGAGCTCATTCAGCCAATATTGTTATGAGTGCAAAGCATACTGATACACGTGCTTTATAACGCACAAAGATGCATTTGAAGTACAGGTATCATGCACATTGTACAGGTAGTAGTTTAGGAAGTGCCAACACATTGTTGGTTTTAGGCTCAACAGGTGGGGAGCTAAAATGATAATTCTGCTTTTGGTGACCACATCCCTATCTTTGTTGGCTATAATCTGTAGCTTGCACTTAAAAATAAGCTATCATCTTAAATCTGACTACCCTCGAAGAATAGCTTCCTTTCCAGTCTTTCTCATGCAGTTTCTAAAGCATGTGATGTACTGAGAACTTGTTTACAGCACG